TCATTCTTTCAACCATTACATTGAAATAGAGGATTTGTTTTCTTAATAAAGCAATACACTTTACAAACATGTCCTTTTTTATATTTACATTTTTATCATTTATATACGTATATATGTATGTATAACACAGTGTCTCTAGTTACATGAAGAAGGCAATACTATCACTACAGGCAGTAGCTTTAAATATGTTTATGTTTATTAGGGAGCGCTATTGTGGCAGTATTAACATATAAAACAATCCTTTTTTTTAAATAACATACAAACATTCAAAATATTCACTTCACAAAATTCATGAGGCTTGCTTTCCCAAAGGGACAGGGTCAAGACATTGTTGTTTGTTTGTTTGGTTTTTTTGACCAACTTTTCCTAATTGTTTCTTTCAATTAAATATCCCAGAGTTTGTTCTTTTTAAAAGGCTGGTTGACCAAAGACAAAACAAAACAAAGGAAAAAAAAACAACTTTGGAGACTAAAACAACAACAACAAAACAAACAATCAGTCTGACAAATGATCAAAAAGAGGAAAGTGACCATGCAAGAGAATCTGCTACTGTACATGCCAACACAACAACAAAATATAGCTTTTTAATAAACAAAAGCTACAACAACTTATTTTTCTTGAATATTACAAGTTACCTCCAACAGATTTGCATATAGTTGACCTGAGTTCAAATATTTCAAATCTTTAAACAATTTGATTGATTACCGGTAATTAAAGTTGTGTAATTTAATTTAAGGTTTGTAAATACTTATCTCAGGAACCTGTGTATAAACTCAGATATGACATGTGATATGTGGTGATTCATGGTTTTATCACAATAAAAGATGAACATTAGTCCATTTTTACTACACTTGTAAAACACAGGAGCCGTCACAGTAGCTCAAAACAAGAGCTAAATCGTAAACTCAGAATGCTGCGTGGGTAACAATGAGCTACAAATGAAACGCTACAGTCTCAATAAAGCCAAGATAGTTTTTAGTTAAAAAAGTGTGGTGGTGTTACGTTTTAAGAGCGTTAATGTGACATTTAATTCTCCATTCTCACTATTGGTGCTTTTAAAAACTTGTTCCAAACAAAATATTGATTATTTCCACAAAGAGCATGCTCCACTAGCAATGAGGTTAGGATGTTAGCATTAGTGTTAACATTGGCAATGATTTACATACAGTATATTTACAAAGCAACAGCAAAACCTACTGGTTGGTGCCATTTAATAATTCCATGATATGATTTTTTTTTTGCACTAACTTTTCTTCACAAGCAGAAGTTAAAGATAACATAACCAGTGTTGGATATACAGTATGTCTTTCTTCCCTCGTTTCCATCAGATTCACTACCATGCCCGAAAGGAAAGCCGTTTTTGCACCAATTGCAGAATGCTGGTTCAAAATCTCCACTCACCGTTTGTTTTTTTTTTCCGCACACTGCACATGGGCGGCTTCACAGTATCAATACAACTGCACACTCCACGATTTCAGATGCTAAACTTTGTGCGATTGCTGCGAGTCAGCAGTTTGTTTGACAGCCTGTCAGCTACCGCCTATCATTGCTATGGACTGCACTGATTGGCGTGGCCATTGACAGTCAGACACATAAAATAGTTTATTATTTTTATTCCACAATGGCCGAAGGAGGGCAAAACGTGGATTTGGTTGCAGATATACTTGCAAGGCCATTATCAAGATGGACCTTTCAAGAGAAGTTAGATCTCGTGAGACAAAGTCGGCTTGACCCCTGAGCTACCTAACATGTCCCAGCTGGGGAAAGGGTTTGTCCGCCATTTCAGACATACCAGAGAAAGTTCCCGCAAACAGCCATTTCTAGCTTAACACAAAGTCACGGCGCACTGTTCGACCTGCCCCAACTAAAAACGGAACTGCCTGTAATGTATGTCATGGCTGATTTTGAAGGAAAAAGTCCAGCGGATCTCCTTGATTTTCTTAGGAACAAAGAACTGAGTGAGAGTATGGAACAGCTTTATGCACTGGCTTGTTTGGCCGTGACAATCCCTGTGTCCACTGCTTCTGTTGTCATTCTCGGCCTTAAAACGAATTAAAACATATGCAAGAAACATGACTGGACAGACGCGGCTTTCAACATTGGCCTCCATGTCGAGAGAAGGGGGTTTATTGTTGGAACTGAAGTGCACAGATAAACTGTACATCTGAGTCATCAAGGTCTTCTTGAGGAAAGAAATAAGAATGGATTTTGTGTTGAAATAAGTGTTTTGGAGGATAGCTGTTTTGTTGAGTACAAACATTTTATTTATTTTATTTTATTTACTTACTTGATTTATTGATTTTTAAATGCGTCAGAAATTAGCCCATATACAATTTCTCCAGCCGTGGTCGTGTGGTGTCCTAAATTATGTTATTATGAGAGGTATTTATTGCTGTCGGACTAAGTAGGACATCACTGAAGGCCTAAGTGTGAAATGCACGACCAGCAACAGCAATTGAGTAATGTCGAATTAAAAAAGTGGAACAAAATGTTCAATCTGCGTGACGTGGGACAAAGGCTGAAATTGCTGTGCAATACATTGTAAAGCGGGACAGGTGGTCACGCTACTTGGAAAGCAACTACTGCAATAGGAGAGGGATCATTGTATACATATCTGGTGGGTAATTGAAAATGAATGAAGGGATTAGTCTTTGTGTTTGTTTTTAATCCGGCATACACCTTTAATTTTTTATATTATAAAATGTATAAAAAAATTATATTTTATTTTTCATTTAATATGAGAACTTTCTTTTGATTTAAAGAAATATTTAAGTTTATATTTAATATTTACATTTTGGGGCTTTCTTCTGTTCTCTATACACTGAGCACACATGCAGTCACCTAAAAAGATTCTGATACCTAAGCCTTTTCTACACTGTATTTCATAGACATGACACAAAACCCATCTGCCCCACCCCAGACAATTAACATGATATTTACAAATGACAGCATGCATTTTGGGCAGATAAATAGGTCATTGGAAAGAGGATGAGGTACAGAAATAAGAATGCAAATTCTGAAGTTGTTACATAATTCATCAAAGTACACTAGTTTAAACAATTGTTGAATAATGGAGAATCAGTCATTACAGACAGTGATTGTGATACTGCTACCTACCTACGACTCTGCTACCCATCCAGCATATCACGTGGGCCAAACTCAGCCCAACATTTTAGCCAGATTTTGCAAATAAGCTAATATTGAAACAATTCACAAACTTACATAGCTTTCTTTAGTTAGTTTGTTACCATTGCAACCACATGGAGCTAAATGTATATAAGATGGACAGGTAGTTGTCATGGGATGAAGTTAATGTTTTACTAGTGCACACAGATTTCATCTGAGACTGTTTTAAAGTCCATGACATCAACACTCATGCGTCGTGAGTGGTTTGTTCCTTTGTTAAGTTTCAGCTATAAAACTGGGTGCATATACTTTTGTAAAAAAATTAAGGTTTTGTTCCAAATATATGAGTTTCTTTCATTGGTGCATATTCTCCATATGCATAAAGTTTTTTTAATGCATAAAGTCTACAGAGGTCCAGAACAACAGCTGATCATATGGAAAAGCCACATTGTATGGAGCTCAATGTAAGGGCTGAGTTATAAATGAATCACAGCATCTGTAGCAATCTGTAGCAACAAACCAACCAACAAACATGGATTGACTTCAACAAAGTGTGGTTATTCATAAAGAGCCACAGAGTGAACCACCGACTGTAAATGGTAACATGACTATATCAGTCAGTGTGGTGCTTCAGCTACAATGGCCCAACAGCAGCTTAGTAGAGCAGAGACTATATTTATCAGAATGACATACAATGGGTGGCGCTTTGGCCAAGAGGCAATGTCTCTGTCATTGGTGTGGAACCCCAGGGTTCACTTCCTGGGCAAGATTGAATCCCAGTTAGGGTGGTTGGTACCTTCCAGTGGACTCACCCCCCGTAGGAAGGTTCAGGGGGGTTTGTACGGTGCAGTGTTATTTGGGTGGCGGTCATGGAGACTGCTGCCCCCGCGACCCGGTCACGGATAAGTGGATGAAAATGGATGGATGGATAGATGGACATACAGTGGATGCATATGTACAACAGCAGACAGTCTGAAGCCATGTTTACATCTGACATAAATACACTCTTTGGATATTTATACTCACATGAATTATATGAGTCATGTTGTGCTCAGATTGACACACTTCTCTTTTGATAAAAAAAAACTAAAACATAAGTGGTTAATGACCTTACCTGAGAGTTTGATCTCAACCAATCTTTTCCACAATGTTATATCTGTCCTTTGAACTGCACTCCAAGCTCCAAAATAGACAGGCTCCAAGTCTGATTAATAATTTACACTTCAACCTAATAAAGTTCCACTAATTAGCTCTAGTAATCACATTGTGTTAATGTTTAACAACTTGACTGACTGAATTTCTTACAACCAAAAGAATCCTGTTAGGTCAAAGGTTAAAGCTCAAATCGGAGCAATTCCGACATGAGTTGTTTTAGGTCAACGAGTACAGTCAGTAGAAAAAACAAACATCAGGTTGAATGTACAATGGACAAAGTTGTCTGACTGTCCTTGTCAATTTGAAATGCAGCCCAGCTGGTAAAAGGAAAAACAAATTGTCCATTCAGCATGCTCAAAACATTATCACTAATATCTTGTAACATTAATTGTGTGATTTTGATGACCAGAATAAACTGGTCATCAAATTAGACATGACATGTGTATACCTGCATGTTTTTTATTTGTATATTTTATTATCTTTTTTAAAGTATAGTAGGTAAATCCAAAATCGTGTTGTCCTCTGTTTGGCCCAACTGTGTCCAATACGACTAACTGGAAATGAGCAAACCACTATGCATTGCAAAAGTTGCATTAAACCTGCTATATTACTTTGAGCTTTGAGAGATAAAGGTAAGATCCACCTGTCTCCCCCAGCCAGGCTGCATTCACAAAAAAAACAAACAAACAAAAAAAAAAACATGTTGCTGTTTAAATTTATTAAAAAACAAAAACTGTTTGGTTAGGACAGGACATTAAGTTTTTTCCCCTACACTGTACTGAACTTTGTCTTATCATCTGCTTACTTTAAAACGAAACTGCCTTGGTTTACTAATGTTATGAAAATACCTGCAGTAATGTGAGTATCAACAGTGAAGGACCAATGAATACCATACCATAGACTAACATAATGTAGTGACTAGAAGGATGTAGATTAGCTTTTATGAATTCAACACCAGAACAGCCAGAAATGTACAGTTTACACCTGTTCTGCTACTCGTTCATTGAACCACCTGTACTATTCAAACATAAACACAGCCTCCATTTAAATATTACCCCGTTGACTTTTAACAAATTAATAACCCAGACCTCAACACTATGATATTAAGCAACAAACAGTGACTCCATCATACCTCTATAACAAACCTGTTTCTCTCTTTATATTTCTCTACGCATTTCTAAACATATTTCTGACACAGGATGATGAAAGTAATTTTTTTTTAAATCTAAAGACATTAAGGAGATAAACAAATGTATCATCATCACAAAACGATAAAAGTTCTCTCAAGCCTCCCTTTTATTTCTGATTTGACATCACTTTAATCTGAAACAGTTAGAGTCTGTGGTCTGTGTAAAAGCTTTGTGCTATACAGTAGCCTCTGTTGGGAAACAAAAACCCCAGGCCACCCCAATGTCAACAAAGGCTGACTTTAGTTTGAAAAACAATTTTAATTATTCAACCTTAATATACTTCAATAAACAATCATTTTTTTTATCTTTTGTAAACTCTTAATTTCAAAATAAGCTTCAAAGTAGATCTTCTGACTGAAAAATTCCTGAAAGATCTGATCACATAAAAATGTACAAAACCTCTAAAAACAAGAAATCTAAGTTTGTTTGTTTTTTTAGTAATCAATAGTCTGTTTTGTCTTTTTTTCAAATATATATTTGTACATAATGAACTTCAAACTGTAGGTATTGTTGTGTTCAGCGACAAATCAGTTTTCCTCCTTAATTTCTTTTTTTCACAAACTCCGTCATAACTGACAGGCTCTGGAGCCAATCAGAAGTCTTATCAGAAGGATCTGCGATATTTGTCGCGAGGTGCCTGTGTCACCTCGTCAGCATCAGGAGTAAACAAATGGATTCAACTTTAACTAATACAGAACCAACCTAGTTTTCTTCTCTTATCCATCTATTATCACAACTTTGCTCAATCTTTTTATCATGGCCTTTTTTGTCTTAGTCCCAAAAAACAGTCTCATCCCACAGTTTTTGTTCACTCAGCTATCATCTGTGTCCATCTTAATATTTAATTGGATCCTCTGATATTATATTACTTTGTCCTTATCTCTCTTCTCACTGTTACTGATTCAACAGAGGTGAAAATAATTCTTGTCTCATTATAATTCTATGAGAACTAACTTGACAGCATTTCCATTTCAGGCCTCTGTTTCCATTACAAACATTTTATGTTAAATCTGTGGAGCCCTTCAAATTAGAAATAATCCTTTACCGCTGCTGGACTTGTATTTCTTTTTAAGACTGAATGATGGATTTAATTATATGTTAACACAGACACTGACTTCTTACCCTGGCTTTTCAACACCGTCCAGTCAATTTCTCGTTAGTCAGACCAAAAGTTATCCATGGCCATACTGACCTTGCAAAGGACCCAGCGCCGGAATGGACAGTAGTACTCGTAATGAAACTGCTCAAACTCTGGTGTCTGACGGATCTCGTGTAGGAATGACACGTCAATGTCAGACTCCAGCAGCAGCAGCAGCATGGGCACAGTGACAATCAGGATCCCCGAGACCACAGCAATGAAACGGGCCATGCTCAAAAGACACGCATTGACCCTGTCATTTGATGACAGCAGGTGCAGGCTAAGCACTCTGCCCACTGGACTTCTGGCAGCCAACCTGGTTGGTTCATAGATTTGATCTCGCTCCCTCTCGGCCTCCAGCTGCGCCTGGATGTCCGGGTCAGCGTGAAGCTCCCTTAGCAGCCGGGCAGGGCTCTGGACGTGAGAGGAGAAAATGGAATCCACTCCTCCCTGACTGTCATCCACTGGTGTGGGCAGCATGCTGGCACAGGGGCTGGAGGAAGGTGTATACTGTTAGTACATATGAAAAATATCTGAAATCTGCATTTCTTTACACTTTTCACTTCTTTTACTCACACTATTATTTGTTTTTTGTATTCAGTCCTTCAATGTCTACACATTTCTTAGACCTTTTATGTGGTTTATTATTTTGAATAAAAAATTATAAATAATTATTTAATTAATAAAATTTGAAATTAAAAATAATAATTGTGGCGCTTTGGCCCAGAGTCAATGTTTCTGTCATTGGTGTGGGCAAGATCGAATCCCAGTTGGGGCGGTTGGTACCTTCCAGTGGACTCACCACCCACAGGAAGGTTCCGGG